CCAGGAACTTCCAAGTTCCATTATGTGTTTGATTTTGATTTAGTTTTCAGGGTTTGTGTGTTCGGAATCCTTTAGTGTTGTCAAAGTTTTTGTGAAGGCTACATTCAGTTAGTAGACCCAGTTGGGACCCGCAGCTTTGATTCAGGCCATCCTCATGCCCAGCCAGTCAACTCTAACATCTCTTTCCCTTGCGTTTTGCTTAACCCAGATCTTTCTTTCTTTCTTTCTTTCTTTCTTTCTTTCTTTCTTTCTTTCTTTCTTTCTTTCTTCTTTAAGATTATTTACTTTTTATTTCATGTGTTTTGCCTGCATGTATGAATAGACAATATGTACTTGTTTGCTTGGTGTCCAAGAAGGTCAGGAACGGGCATCAGACCCCCTGGAGCTGGAGTTGTAGATAGTCATGAGCCAACATGTGGGCACTGGAAATGGACCCTGGGTCCTCCGAAAGAGCATCAGTGCTTTTAATCACTGAGCCATCTCTCCAACCCCAACTAAGAGCACTTTCACTTCTTCGGTCCAGCCTGAGATCCTTCCAACACACAAATCTGGAGAGAGCACCTGCTTAGGACCCTCATTCATTCCAGCGATTCTAGCCACACCGGGCTGACATCAGAAGAACCTACATTTGCTTTCCTCAGTCCTCCTGGATTTAGGAAATTGAAATGAAAATCCTCATCTTTTTGTTTGTTTATTTGTAGACCTGGCCTTCTTGGAACATACTATGTAGACCAGACTGGTCTTGAACTCAAAAGAGGTCTGCCTTTCTCTACCTCCTGAGTGCTGGGGTTAAAGTGAGCACCATTACACCCATCTTTACCATCTTTTTATCAATGAGAGTTTTTACTAAAATGTTAGAGTCCTCACAGGCTTCATCCCCTTTGTCTCAGGTTTACTCTTCTCAGCAAAGATCTGGAGCCCTGGGATCTGTGACTTCTGCACAGGCTCATAGCCTAACCTTTGTCTAAAATCAAAATATGTGCTCCATGCTGCATCCTGAGCTGTGGTGCCACAAGCCTTTAATCCCTGCACTTGAGAGACAGAGGCAGGCAGAGCTCTGTGAGTTCAAGGACAGCCTGATCTACACAGTGAGTTTCAGGACAGCCAGGGCATCACAGAAAACCTGACTAAAACAAACAACAGCAACAACAACAAAAAAACAAAACAAAACAGCAACCCCCCCCCAAAAAAGATTCATCCTGTTCTCAAAAATTACACTTTGCTTATCAGTTGCACTGCTTCTAAGGGTTTACTGTTGGCAGCCAACTAAGCATGTGAGGCCTAGCACTGACCATCCTGAGGAACAGTAATAAATTCCAGGGGGACTCCCACTGGGTGTGCTTGCCTGCTTGAATCCCCTTCTGCAGAAGTGAAATTGCTTGTCCCTAGTGCTTTGGGTTGTGTGGTCATTTCCCTGAGACCCCAGATGCGTTTCTAAAATGTGAGTACTTTCCTCCCTAAAATGGAGGATTTCTCACTGTCCCCTCCTGACCCTAAAGGCTGACTTGTCATTGCTTCATTCTTGCTCCCGGTTAGAGCAATCTGTGGTCTCCTGTCCAGGGCTGTGTTACATGACTAGCAGATCTATGCTCTAGGCCTTTTAATAAATGATTGCTATTGAATTTATGAACAATTAAATGAATGAATCAAAGGCAGGGGCTGAACTACAGTCCAACCAAGTAGACTCATAAGGCAATGGGGTGGGATGGGGGAGGGGGAACAGGAGTGAGAATGAGGTGCGAGATGGAGAAATGAATTTATAGGAGGAGCCAGATTCTCTGTCTACATCCTGAGCGGGCTTCCTGGTGTGGCCCAGACACAAACTCCAGTTCAAGAACTCAGAACCCTCCCCCATGGTGTTGAGTTTGGGGGGGTTGTTTTGGTTTCTCTTTGAGCCAACCCACTCAGCAAATAAAAGGCTGCAAATAGGAAAAACACCATGAGCCGGCAGCTGCTCTGTGAGAATCCAGCCTGGCTGTCCCCTCCCCCACTGGCCTCGGGTCCCCTTGGTTGCCTAAGGCCAGAAGGCCTAGCTGCGAGGATCCTGCAGAGAGCTCCGGGTGGGCACGCAGGCTCCCGGGCGCTGTCCATGGTGCCCGCTCAGCAGTCTCCCCGCCTGTGCTTCCATAGCTCACCGCTTATAATCGGAGGAGAAGATCCCGCCGCTCGCCGGGTCGTGGCCATATTCCGGCTCCCCGGGGCCGGCCGAGCCACCCTTGTCTTCGCTGTAGGCAGGGGCGGTCGACATGGGTCTGTGCTGCGGGGTGACTGAGCGGCCGGACTGGGCTGGGGCCGAGGGAGGGGACTCACACCTAGCTCTGCAGAGATGCAATCTGCGCAGCGGAGGCTGCGCGCGAATTCAGCAATCAGGGCCTCACGCCGAGATTCTTAAAGGCACCGGCACCACCCGCCGAGTTCAGGGGTTGGAGTGAGCGGACAGGACACGGGGAGGAGGAGCAGCGCCGGCCCCACCCCAATCCCTCAGAACCCTCTGACATCCATGCTTCTCCACTGCAACTGCAAGCACCTACAGGTCTGTCAGTGAACCAGGCTGCTAGGCTGATGACCTGATGACAGTACAGTCTTTGGAGGGATGCGGACCTCCTGTAACCACCCCTGATCACCTGACCTCCTGGCGTCCGCCCACCCACGCAGTGAAGGAAGGGGGTTACGCTGAAAGAAGGCCATACCCACAGGCACCGGTTGGAACACTGGGCCTTGGAGATGAAGGAATGGTACCTTTCCACCCTCCTTGTCACACAGCCTAAATCCCTCTGGGGGCAACCTGCCTACTAGTTTCCCGGAAGAAGTGGAATTTAAGGGCAGGATGACCCAGGAAGCATCACTAAGTGCATTTTGGGAGCAGAACTGTTCCAGGTGGAGTAGAGAGAACACCTAACATCCTAATATTAAGTTTTAGTAAACACTTTAATGATCCCTACTGAAGCCTGTTCGGGCCCTCTCCGGAGGGCTCATGGTCACATCAATCCCTGGTCAAATCCAGGTCCACTGACATCTAGAAGGGAAGGGAGAAGTAACACACAGACTTAAGTCAGATATAATCTCCAGGTCTCCAGAATTTTGTGATTCTTGGAGCTTTGCTCTCAAGACAAAAAGGGGGGAGGGAGAGAGGGAAGGAAGGAAGGGAAGTAGTAGGTCTGGATGGAGAGATAACCCTAAATTGGGCTGATGTATGGGTTATTATATCTCTTTGAGCTAGAGTTTTGGGCATGGGGTTGAGTGGTTGGAAAACCCTGGCTAGACTAGGAGAAAGGAAGAGTTCTCAAGGGCTGTCTTGAATTGTAGAATTAGGTTCCCTATGTCTCCAATCAGAATTGGTGGGTTGGTTGGAAATGGGTGGAACTCAGAAAGGTGGACTTTGGGTCAATAGAAAACAAAGGGCTCAGGTAGGCCAGAGCATGGCAAACAAGACTCTGTAGGTCTTGCCCTCCCCCATTCCCTGGCCTTGCTAACTGTTAGATTACATTCCTAAAGCTAACCACCAAGGTGTATTCCTTTATTTGACCACTTCCTCCTCCTGAGGCTGGCAACCAAGGTCTAGCTATTAAAGTATTGAAGTCCACCAGTCAAATGCCCTCTTTTGTCTACCCTAATTAACATGTCCAATCAAAATAAACCAATTCACTCTATGGGGGGGTTACCCCTTCCCCTTTATAAACTGCCATTTGCCTATGAGCCCCATCTGCCTGCACTTTATTCCAAGGAAATCCTTTGACCCTCTGGGAAAATATCTCTTCCCCTTCTCCCTTGTCCCTTCCCCCCCTCCCATGTCTTCTGTCCTCTGCCTCTGTCCCTCTGGGGCAAACTATTCTCTTTGGCCTGAGAACATGTTCTTGATGTGTCCTTTCTGAAAGTTCTCCTGAAGGAAGAAGAATGATGGGGTTGGACCAGCACCTGGGTAGGAGATTGGTAGTATTCAGTAACTATGTCTGGATC